GGGGGAGGCCGAGGGGTAAGGGGGGAGACTGAGAGGCATGGGGGGAGACTGAGGAGTATGGGACAAGACAGAGGGGCAGAGGGGGAGAACAAGGAGCAGTGAGGAGGAGACAAAGAGACAGAGAGGGGAGACTGAGGAGCATGGGGGGAGACTGAGAAGTATGGGAGGAGATGGAGGGGTAGAGGGGAAGCCGAGGAGCAGTGAGGGGGAGACAAAGAGAGAGCAGGGACTGAGGAGCATGGGGGGAGATAGATAAATATGGGGAGGAAGAGTCGGAGTTAATGAAATTGCCCTGCTTTTTACAAATAGTTCAGGGAAATAAGTCAGGGTGGTGAGGGGACACTGGGCTGGTCTCCGGGATGCAGCAGAAATGCAAGCACAAGACCTGCCAGAGCTGAGCAAGGACACAATCGAGAGGGAGCTGTGTCCGCTGGAGGGACAACGCCAAGAGCTGGAGCACACTGAGCACGTGCCGCGAGCCAGCACCCACCTGCCTTATCCATTTACCCTCCCAGTGGGCCTGGGACATAGGGCAGTTGCCAGCCTCATCTCACAGATGGGGAACTGAGGCTCAGAGAAGCCAACTTTCAAACCCATGGTGGCCCAGCAGTGAGCTGGAAGCTGAAGCCAGCGTCCCTGTCCAGAGATGAAGCCCCTGCTGCCCGGGCTGTGCCTGCCCCACTTCTCACCTCTGCCGCAGGTGACTGTGCACTTGGTCCAGGGCCCATAGTGCCAGGAGAACTCGGGTGGTGGGACCTCGCCATGGCCGCCTGCCTCCCTGTGGATGGTGTACTCGTAGCGCACCCCGGGGTTGCTCTCCTGCAACAGCAGCTGGGTGGGCAGGCAGGAGCCCGTGAGCACGAGGTGTCTTCTCCATCCACCCAGTCCTAAAGGAGCCAACCCCAGCCACCTCTGTGAACTGTAGCTACACCATTGGGCCATTTTAAAGATGAGAAAATTGAGGTAGAGGCTGCAGCAGGAGGGCCTCGCTCAGAGCCAGGCTCTGTGACTGACCCAGGGCTCACTCTTCCAGGACGAGACCTGCCATAAGGGGTGCTGGGCCTGGGGACTGCGCCTCTGCTCCCCTACCCTGGGCCTTGGGAGGCAGGCACCTGGATCCAGACAGGCTCGTTGGTGGGACCCAGGGACGTGAGGTTCTCCCGGTTGCCCCTGAGTGCGTATGTGAAGGTGGTCCCTGCCACCTGGTAGTCCCTGTCCCACTGGATGGTCCAGCCATCACTGAAGAAGTACTTCTCTGGGTCCTCGCTCTGCGGTGCCAGGAAGTTGGCAGCCTTGGCCACCTCCTGGATGCGGATCTCGCGTGCGCCGGCTGGGATCAGCCCCACATCCACATACCCTGTCAGCCAAGGGTTGTGGGTAGGTTGTGCCCAGGGTGAGAAGGTTGCTTATCCCCACCCGCTTCCCTCACGTCTCTCCCCACTTGCCTCCACCTGCTGATGCCAAAGATTTTGCCATTAGCTTTAAAGTCTGAGCTCCCCAAATTGCTCAGATCTGTCATAGACCACCAAAACCTCGCAGAGGTGCCACAAATCCTGACCCCGTGGCCATGCCCCATCACCCCTCACTTGGGGACCTAAGCTGGTCTCATCACAAGGCTGGATCCATCCCCTACACTAAAGGCCAGCTGGCATTCTCTTTCTGAAAAACCCAAAGAGCCCAGGCCTTTCTCCTGGGACACCCTCCTCATCCCCATGCGGCCTGCTTTTATTCATTCACTTCCGTCACACCCGTCACATGCCAGGCACTACTCTCAGCACTTCATATCTGTAAGCTCATGGGTAACGGCCCTATAGCCTAGGTACTATTGTTATCCCCATTTTACAGATGATCAGAGTGAGGCAGACAGGGATAGTGACGTGCATGAGCGTCCTGCTGGGATATGAGCAGCCTCCAGGGCCAGTGCTTTATCCAACACACTGCGCTGCTCTCTGGGATGAAGTCTAAGCTTCTCAGCCTGGGGCTCGAGGCCCTATAGCTGGTCCTGCCTTCCCTTCTTGCCTCCAGGCTCTGGTACAGGCTCTTTCCTCCATTTGGAAGACCACTTCCATCTCTTCTGAGTTTTATGATTCAACTCAACTTCCACCTCCTACAGGAAACCTTCCCTGACTTCCCCAGGCCAGGACCTTCTTCCTCAGTGCTCCCATGGCCCTCTGGGCCTACCTCTACTGCACTGGTCACACCAGAAGGTTCTGTCCCCTTGCAGGACTGAGCACTTCACCTGCATGTCCCCATCACCTAGCACACAGTCAGTATTTGAGCAACGTGTGCAAAACAGACCAGAGGTGAGGGCACGGAGTTGGGCATCTCAGAAGCTTCAGGAGGAGACTACCATTCTTCGAAAGGCCCAGGGGCCACACGCAAGCCGAGCTGGCCCTGCCTGGGGTGTCTGGGACAGGAGGATTCCCCGTGGGGACAGCTCTCTGCATGTGGGCCAGGGGTTCCCTGACTCCTGCAAGAATTCTACCCCAGCAAGGCTTCCCTGCTTAGCCATCTCTAGTCTAGGTAGGGACCACAAGACGAAGGACAGGGGCCCAGGGGAGATGGGGAAGGGGCCACCAGGTGAAGAGCACACCCCTCCCCAACAGCGGTTCCACCCCATACCCAGGCGCTCGGCCTCCTCAAAGGTCCCGCTCACGGTGTGGCAGGTGGAGTCATTGCCGTGACACACGCCACAGTGATCCTCCATAGCACCGGAGTCAATCTTGAAGTCACAGCCCACGTTCTGCAACACACAAGGAGGAAAGGCCCCTGGTGCTGGTGGTCAGCCCTCTGTGGTCCCAGTCCCGGGGGCCAGCCAGGGTCAGGAGGAGAAAGCTGGGAGTGGGGGTCAGGAGGCCTCTCTCTGGCCCTGCCCCATCCCAGCTGTGCCTCTGACTCAGGTGAACTTCTCTACCTCCCTGAGCCTCAGTTTCCTCACATGTGAGATAGGGAGATCCACCCCTCCCTTAAAGGCATGTCGTGAGCATCACATAAGACAAGAGAAGGGAAGAGTTCTGCAAAGGCTGCAGGCAGGCAGGGGATCTGATGCACTCCTGACCAGCGCATGCAGGGAAGGCATTGGGGGTTGGCACCTCCCTGCTGGTCCTCCTCGGAGCCCAGGCCTTGATACACCAGTGGCTTAGAGGGCAAGAAGCAGGGACAAGTAGGTGGCTGGGGACATGGGCGAAGAGGAGAGGCCATCATTGTTATTAAAAATAAGAATAGAAATTGTTACCAAATACTGAGTGCTACTCTTTGGGGCTCAGAGCCCTTCAAGTCACCTATGTCACCTCATTTAACCCCTTCTATCAGGGAGCAAACCACTGCTTGGGGTCAGCCAGCCAGCAAGAGGTCAAGTCACTGCCTGGGCTCCAGTTTCCTGTCTGGGGTGGTGCTGGTGCAGGCATCCAAGGAGATGCAGGGAAGTGAGGCCTGACTGGGAGGGGTCCCCAGTGCCAGGAGGTGTGGCAGGGGCTTTGCCTTAGAGATCATAGAGGGTGGGGGCTTGGAAACCCAATGGTAGAACATGGGGAGGGTGGCCTGAAGAGGACCAGGAGGGACCCAGGAGAGAACCTGGGGCCCGCCAGTGGGGCTGGGGGCAGCCAGTACTGGGAGAGCCTCTTCCTAACCAGGCACACCTTGCAGATGCTGTTGATGCAGAGGTCCCAGCTGGCCTGGACCTGGTAGCAGGGGGTGCCATCGACCACGGCATCCCACAACTTCTTGGCAAAGTACTTATTTGCGGGCCAGCAGTACAGCTCGCAGGGGTTCACTGGAGGCCCAAGTAGAAGAGCCATCAGCAACAGCTGGGGCAGGAGTGTGGAGGCCACCAGGAAGACCCCTCTGTGACACACATCCATAGCAGGCTGAGGCTCCCAAGCAGCACCAACATGCTGGAGGCTCCGGCTGGGCTGGTAGCTATCTGCAAGGTCGCAGACTGGGGAGCTAGGGGTGAGCAGCAGCCCCAGGGGACAGTGGGAGTGGCCCAGGCTTGGGGTGGAGACTGGGCCTCCTACTTGCATCACAGGGTAACCTTGGACCCACACATCCCCAGCCCTCTGGGCCTCAGTGTCTCCATGGGAGGCAGCACTCACCGTCATTGACCACGGGCACCCATGTGTGCAGCTGGCCCTCGTAGAGTGTAGCGTCAAAGTGGCTGCACTGGACGTGGCAGAAGGAGGGGCGGCCAGTGGGGCAGGCCTGCAGCTTGCAGAGGTGGAAGTGCTTCCGCTCACCCACACAGTATCTGCCTTTGTATTTGGGTCGGTGGGGATGAGCGGGGTGGGCCCCAGGGCCTGGTGAATACTACTGCCTGGCCACAGCCCAGAGCAAGCGGCTTCCTCCTGCACCCACACCCCGAGATCCCTGCCGCCCAGCTTTGTGCACAATGCTTCCCTCCCTTGGGCTGCCCACCCTCTGGCCCAGACACACCCTCCCTGTTTGTAAGGACCTGTGGGGAGGTGGCAGCAGGAAGCCTGAGCTCTGCCCCCAACCTGCTATGTGACCATGGGCAAGTCTTCGGCCAGCCTCTGGGCCTCAATTTCCTCCTGTATAAAGTGAGGTTTGGGCTGCCTCTGCAGAGGGCTGTTGTAAAGCTGGGACAAGTTGCAGGCATGACTGGCACTGGCTAGAGGGACTGCACCGAGTCTTTAGCCCATGACACCAGCATCCTAACAAGCCCTTGAGTCCTCAGCCTCCCTCCTGGTGGCAGTACCCCAGCCCAGGCCTAAATGAAGTGCCCAGGGCCCCAGCCAGGTGGGAGGTCTGACCGAGCACAGCTCCTGAAACCCTCCGCATCTAGGCCAGGGTTGCTGGCCCCCACCCAGCTCAGACCTGGAGGTCAGGAGGCAGGGAGGGCCACAGGCCAGTCTTGGATAAGCATAGTGCCCTGGGTGGGGCTGGCTGTGAACCCCATGTCTGCCCCGGGTGGCCTCCTGAAGTGAAGATTAGCCGGGTAGTGCCTCAGGTCTACGGTATCACTGGCCTCTGTGTCTCAGCAGATCTTCACACCACCCCGTTTAGACGGGAAATAGAGGCCCAGAGAGGTGAAGTCATTCACCTCAGGCCATCCCTTCAGTGCTGGCCCATCCTCCCAGCTGCCCCCAGTCTCATCTCAGACTCTTGTTGTGTCTCTGAGGCCACCAAGCCCCTCCCGCTGAGTGCCCCCTACAGACGAGCTGCAAGACTGAGGGCCTGGCCTGCAAAAACTGCATTTGCCCTTGACTACAACTTTACTGGATGGGCACTGCTGTTATATATATGGGGAAAACGGGGCCCAGAGAAAGGATGAAGATGGGATTCGAACCTGGAGCCATCTAAGGTCTGGGACCCATGCTCTTCCCCACTGCCCTCTCCTGCCTCCTTCCAGCCAGCAGCTGCTTTGCCATGTGGCCTCTGATGAGTCTCTCCAGTCTCTGGGCCTCAGTGTCCCCCTCTCTGAAAAGAGGTCAGCAGTGGGGACCCTGTCAGTCCCCAGAACACTGCTTGAAAGTGACTCAAGGTGGCCTGGACACTCGGACTGACCATTATGAGGACATTTCTCAGAGCCAGGGGCTGGGACAGAGCCAAGCTCCTGCAATCGGCTGACTGCTTGGGTCCCTCTGTCCCATTGCCCAGGGCACCCTGGGCCCCACACTCACGTAGGCTGCCTGCACTGCCGCTCAGCGCTCTGTACGCCCACGCCACAGCTCCCGGAGCAGATGGACCAGGCGCTCCAGCCAGATCAGCCACCATCCATGGCCTTGGACCAGAAGCCCACAGACATGCACTCCTCATTGAGACACCACTACCAAGACAGATGGAGGTAGAGCCACCCCACCCCCCAGCCTATCAGTAATCCTCACCCTAGTGAGAACAAGGTGGGTGGGAAGGCTGAGAAAGGCACAGAGGGGAAGGATGGAAGGTGAGAGAGGCCCCTTTACAATCATCACAATCATCTGTGACCCAGACCACAGGGAGGAGCTGAGCAGGGAGTAAAACGGCCCACGTGCTGACTCAGCTGAAGACCCCTGGGGGAATCATGGAATCAAGCCCTGGCCCCAATGCCTCCGCTTTGCAGATGGGGCCTTGGGCTGCAGAGAGTGCGGGGCTCTGCTAGGAGCACAAGCAAGACTGTGAGCTGGGGCTGACCCCAGGGCCTGGTTACAGCAGGTCTGGCGTCTCACACACCCACCGCCAGGACTGGGGACATCCCCTACCTTATTCTCCCCACACTGGGTGCCGTCCACGGCTGCATCCAGCTTGGAGTGACAGGTGGTCCCCACAGAGCACCAGAGTGTGTGGCAGACATTCTGTGAGGAGGAGCGCATGGGCCATACCCTCACCCTCTCCCAGTGCTGCCACCCACCCTGCCCCCTCCCTGTCCCCAAGGGTCCCCTGGGCACCCCTCCACATGGCAGGGGCCCACAGACCCCCAGAGGTCCCTTCTTGTGTGTCTGCTCCCACCTTCCTCCCTGGACCATGTGGTGGTGTGGGGTACTCGGGGCTGCACTCCTCAGAGCGGTCCCCAGCTGGCCCCACCTCTCCCAGCCTAACCCCTCCTCTGGAAACACTCCCGTTAGAAGATCACTTCAGGCAATCTTCTCCAGGATAAATAGACCCTCCCCACTGGGGTTCCTTTTCCCTCTCATGAGCCAGCTCCAGAGAGGCTAAGGGACTTGCCCAAAGTGTCACACTTTGTCCATGGTTGACCCAGAATTCAGAGCTGGGTCTGTGGCCGCCCATCCCTGGCCTCTCCCACAGGTCACTTGGCGTCTCACAGTATCACTCGGGGGTGCAGCCCAGGCCAGGTGAGGTTACTCTCAGGCTGGCATCCATGGGCTGGTGAGAGCTGTCCCCGAGCCCTCCTGCCGGGTCCCCACACCCCCACACCCACACTGGCCCCACTCACATCCATGTCCTCGCAGAAGGCAGAGTAGGCCCCATACTGGAGGCGGCACTGGTGGCTCACATCATAGAGGACGCCAGGTGGCACTGAGAAGTCGATGATGTCCTTGGCAGGAGGGTCATCCAGGCACAGGCCCCACCCATGGCTAGAGATGGGATGGGAGGATGGAGGGGGCGCAGCCTGGGAGACCCATTGGAGAAGCCTTGGTGGGGCGAGGAGAGGTGGGAGGGGACACAGAGTCCTACAACTGTAGGAAACTCTAGCCTCCCCTCTCTGCTCAGCCGATCCTCCACCCACAGCCAGCAGCAGAGACCCTCCCAGCCTCTCTCATCTCAGCTCCTGGGCACTCCAGCTGGCTAAACAACTCCAACACCAATCCCAGGCCTCTGTACACACTGCCAGGGCCCTTCCCTCAAGGCCTCCTGAACCACAAAGTGTGGGTGGCAAGTCACCCAGGTGCCAAGGCAAGAGATCGAGGGTATGAGCTGTTCCAGTATAATAAAATATATAAAATAACAATAGTTATACTAGATATGGATAATAGATATGACTATGTATGAATATCATTAATCATCAGTTTGTAGCAATTACTCTTTACTCTAATATTATAATAATCCTTGCTCTACAATTATAACCTAGGAAAAACCAGGCCATACAGAGACAGGAGCTGAGGGTACATAGTGAGAAGTGACCAGAAGACAAGAGTATGAGCCTTCTGTTATGCCCGGGCAAGGCCACTACAGGGCTCCTTGGTCTAGCGGTAACGCCAGCATCTGGGAAGACACCTGTTGCCAAGTGGACCATGGTCTAGAGGTAGCATCAGTGTCAAGGAAAAACACCTGCTACTTAGCAGACCAGGAAAGGGAGTCTCCCGGAGGAGTTCAAAGAAGACTCTACTCCTTCACCTCTTGTGGAGGGCCTGACATCAGTCATGCCCACCCACAATTATCCGGAGTCCTAACCATCTCTCTCTTCAGTGGTCATGCACCTAGTCTGCCTTCATGTTCCATCCTGTATACCTGGCTCTGCCTTTTAGATAACAGTAGTGAATTAGTGAAAGTACTAAAAGTCTCTGATATGCAGAAATAATGGTGTAAGCTGTCTCTTTCTCTCTCCTCTCTTTCTCTCTGCCTTGGCTGCCAGGCAGGGAAGGGCCCCCTCTCCAGTGGACACGTGACTCACGTGACCTTTTCAATCATTGGAGATGATTCACACTCCTTACCCTGCCCCTTTTGCCTTGTATTCAATAAATAACAGCACAGCCACGCATTCAGGGCCACTACCGGTCTCCGTGTCTTGGTGGTAGTGGTCCCCCGGGCCCAGCTGTCTTTTGTCTCTTTGCCTTGTGTCTTTATTCCTACAATCTCTCGTCTCCTCACATGGGGAGAAAAACCCACTGACCCTGTGGGGCTGGACCCTACATACGGCACCCAATGCGGGGCTCTCTCTTGCTGTGTGAAGTTGCACCCTGAGTGCGGAATCAGCGGAGGATTTGGACCAGAGATTCCTGACGATTGCGGTCAACAAGCTTGGTGGTAAGCTTGGGCACTCAGAGTATCCCGGGGACACCATGGGACAGGCCAGTGCTAAGTACTTGGCTTATTTAAACTTTATGAAAACCCTCCTGTATTATCTCAACCCTGTCCCTGTTCAGCCCTGCTGTAGGGCTCTCAACCTTCTGCCTGTTTGGCCCAGTAATGAGGCCTGCAACCCTATCCCTCCACAGCCTCGTTTTCTCATACCTGTTTCTTTTCCTCCGAATCAGACTTGGCTAGAGTCACAGGCTCCCTTGAAGCCTGGCTCTTTTCCTAAGTTATAGTTGTAGAGGAAGAATTATTATAATATTGGAGTAAAGAGTAATTGCCACAAACTAATGATTAATGATATTCATACATAATCACATCTGTTTATATCTAGTATAACTATTCTTCTTTTATAATAATTTGTTGTACTGGAACAGCTCGTGCCCTCAATCTCTTGCCTCCACACCTGGGTGGCTTGCTGCCCACACAGCCCTGTTAAAATGTTTTTTGTGTGACTTCCTGCATAGTATTTCAAGGTGGCCTAGCAGGAGAATGAATCAGGGATTGCTAGCTTTCCAGCAACATAGCTTGGAAGTTCCTTTAACTCTTTCACAGAGATAGAGTCCCTCTGTACCTAGTTTTATGCTGTTCCCACCTTCCCATTTTTCTTGGAAATTTCCTACTTATCTTCGAAGATTCAGCTCCCCTGTCTATCCTCTCCATAAGGAAGACTTTCCTGAACTCGTAGGCTGAATGTCTTGCATTGTTCTCTGTTTCAATCTCTATTTTCACACCTGTTATACTGTGTGTTAGATTATGGAGAAACACCATTATTCATCTCCAATCTTTATCCCATGGCAAATTGCCTCCGGAAACTCTAGTAGATGTCTTATTAAGGGTGACCTTCGTCCGGAAAGGAGACCACCCCCATTAAATTACAGAGGAATTTGAATATCCAGCATTGGAATATAGGCCAGGATGACAGAATGCTGTAGTATTTCCTTATTTTTAATTCTGATTATACAATATTGTTTTGTATTTTAAAAGTAAGAACATCTACTTATGTACAGGTTAACCTAGACAAGATTTTATTAAAATGCTCTCTTTGAAAAAAATTAGGTACAGAAATGATTTCTTGAAAATCTATTCCTTTTATTGATTTTATTAATGTTGCATAGAAATATAAAGTTTCACACACCATACTTTTGCTAATAAATGTAAATAAGAACAAATTACTTTTGAACAATTAAAATAATGAAATATTGATGATTTTCAATAAAGTAGTTTTGGAATAATTCTGAAGCCATAAAAGACTAAAATTCACTTTATGCTAAAAAAAATAATATTCTCCCATAATGCAATTATTTAATTTTTTTTTTAAAAAAGAAACCACCCAATAAGAGTTTAATTCATTAGGAAATTTTTAGCATTTCTCAATGCAACAGAGTGTTTCTACTATACTTCCTGGCATCATTCCTTTCCTTAGCACTTATCTTCACACTGGAAGAGGTGAACCAGGTGATTATGCCCCCTGCAGGGGCTGGTTCTGCCTCTGAACAGTGACTTGGCATGACAATTAGGTTCAAAATTACCTACATTTACCCTACAGATTTCTTCAGAGCTGTCAGTCTTCCTGAAACTTCCTAAAACTACCCTAGCAAATACTTTTTCCTTTCTGCAATACTCTTACTCAAACCACTGTATTTATCCCATTCCAAGCTTTCCATTCTCTGTTAACAATTTCTCAGGTGCTCATGAAGTTTTAAAGGACAAGACTCCTCTCAGAAGCACATACTACTCAGAAGCTCAAAGCAAATTAAGTTAGTTTACAATCCTTGCTACAGGCCAGAAAATGAGGATTGAGTAAGTGATTTTCCTCATTTGAAAAGGAGAAAACAAGTACAAAAAGAGATTGAGTGATTTTTTTTAACAATCCTCTACACTTATACTTGTACTTTAAGGACTAAAAAGTACCATATAGTCTGATGCTCAAAACAAACTCTTTTTGAGAACAGACATCATTTTACAAATAAAGATACTGAGGCTCAGAGATATGAGTCACTGTCTAAGGTAATAAAAATAGAAATCTATATTATTAGAACTTAAACTCAGGCTCATCCCTGTAATACCAGTGCTTTGGGAAGCCAAGGCGGGATTCAAGAGCAGCCTGGATAATATATTGAACAGCCTGGCCAATATAGCAAGAACCTGTCTCTACAAAGTATATTTTTTAAAAAATAGCCAGATGTGGTGGCACACCCTTGTAGTCCCAGCTACTTGGGAGGCTGAGGTAGGAGGATCACTTGAGCTCAGGAGGCTGAGGCTGCAGTAAGCAGTGATCACGTCACTGGACTCCAGCATGGGTGACAGTGAGACCTTGTCTCTAAAAATAATGATAATTAGTTAGAACTTGAACTCAAGTCCTTTGATTCCCAGCACACAGAGCCTTTCCTTGCCACACCACAGTGCCTCTTGCTAACCTGAACATGGTGAGGAACAGTGCAGCAGTCTGTATACCACCAACCAAAACTTGACTCGGTAGATGCTATGTAGATGCACGGAAGTCTGAGTAAAATGAATCCTATTATCTTGGAAGAGGAATTCATGTATCATTTTCAATGTTGTTCTAGATAATCCTGATGTGCTTGATAAATAACAACTGGTATGTGAATAACCATAAAATTGCCATAATTATAAACAGAATTACAAATGATAATAGACTGGGGACAAGCTACTAAGCAATATGTTAAATATTAAAAGAGTTCACATGGGAATGTATATTATTGAACCTTCTGAAATGCATATTAAAGAACGATCTTGATTAAAGTATCAATACAAAATGGTTTTAAGATTCTGAGTTTTTATAATACATTTTCCAATTTTCTTGTTTAAAAATATAAAAAATGATTTATTATATCATAATTTTTTTCACTCCAAAAATGGAGTCTTCTCTTGGAAAAACAATTACTTGCTAGTAGCTTCCTTTTAAGCATATTTTGGTTATTAGAAGGCCTTCACTGTGGGAGAAATCTTGTGAAAGAATTTATGACCTTGGGAATTGGCATTTTCAAAAATGTAACCTGGAGGAGACGAGTAACTTGTTGGGCAAATTTCCTGTTTTTTGGTGTGTACTCTACAGAGTACATGGTCACATCATCAAATGGAACAGAACTCTTAAAAGCAATATTTAAAGATTTGCAACTCTCTGTTGGAATCAATTTGTGTGGCCCATAGTGAGATCTGAAAGTGCTCAAACCATCAAATTTTCCAGATGGGTTGGGAATCTGCTGCTTCTTAATAAGTCCTTGATGACAATTTTCCCATGCTGGAAAATCTTCCTTCATGGTGCTTTTTCCTTCGAAAGGAAAATTGTTACTTCTTCTAATGAGAAACTGGCCTGATGGGAACTACATGGTTGGCCTGATATGGAACATAGTCAAGATGGCTTGTGCTGTTTAATAGATGTTACCTGTAGGAGGCACATACTCTGGTACTTTCTTGACCTCAGATGGTGGGATTTCCCATGGTTGAAAACATTCACGGAATTCAGTGCTTCCTTCAAACCGAGCATTCTGGGTCACTCTGGTGTGTACAGGTCTGCAGATTTTTGCCGTTTCACCAATAAGACCCTGAAAGTCATACCGGTGAGCTGTGAGATCCTCAAAGCATTGGTCAGTTGGTTTGCAAACTTCTTTTGGCCTTTCAAACTTGAGTTCAAGCTGATGAGGTATATAATCAAGGCAATGACTTGTAATGCCATTAAAAGGGGCTGTAGAACGTTTGACCACAGAGGAGGGTTTAAAGATTTGCCTAGGCTTTATCTCCTGAGGAACAAAGTCATCCTGAAATGTAGTTGAATTTCCAAATTTCACAGTAGGGGGTTGATAAGTTTGTTCTGGCTTATAAAGTTCACTTTTATGAAGGTCATAAGCTCTATAATCATCTTGAAAATTAAAACAAAGTAAAAACATTTTTAAACGCTGAAGAAAACAACCATCTTCTAAAAATCATAACTGATTTCTCTCATTGCCAAACATCTTTCCATTTCCTTTGGAAATCTAAACAATAGTATCAGAATACAGTTTCTCTGATTCCTTTCAGATTTGTTCTTTTTTCTTCATTTTCACCTTCCTCTACCCATCTCCTCACTTTAATAGATATAATTTTCCACTTTCAAATTCATCTGATTACATAACAAAGGAAAAGCATATCTGAGCCTGATTGTGGATAGTTCTTGAAAGCCAAAAGGACTGTGTTGTAGGTGAGGACAGAGTTTAGGAGATTATGGTTGTATTCCTAGGAAGTGGTTGGGATTTTAAGTACAACTCACAAAATGCTAAAGTATGTCTAAAATCCAGGGCTTGAAATAAAATCAAGTGCCCTCATGTGTGGACAAAAGTAACACAGACATTACTCCTTGCTTTGGAGAGACTCATCAAAGGAGAGAAAATTTTAATTCTGGTATACTCTAGGAAGTTACAGAAAGAAGTCCTTGAGCAAAGATACAGGGTAAGTTGTGCTATCCCAGAAAGATCTCTGGCTTCAACTTTCCCTCATGAAATGGACTTTAAGGCATTCCCAAAAGATAGAGGGCCATCTAGAGGCCAGAGGCCTTAACTGAATGCCTTCAAAGGTGTTTGAAATTGTAGAATTTGAAGTGACCATCAGAGCAAAGATCTGGGGTTTGGAAGTTAAATAACCTTAAGCCTACTTCCTGCAGTTTACCTAGACTGTGGAGCATTTTCGTTCACTCTGGTGTCTACAGAGTGATGACTTGTAATACCATTACAAGTTGGTAATGGTACACTTCACTAAAACTGAAATGTTTATATTTCAACTAAGGATTATTTGTGTTTTCTATTTCTAGATGAGGACGATAACAAGGTAGGAAATACCATAAAAGTGACTTCACCTCAAAATATGTATTTCTAAATACCAAAAATTAATTTATAAAAGATAGAAATTTATTATACAAGATAACATACTAAAATCAGAACTAAAGTCTATGCAGTATTTACAGGAAAGGTCAAACCTTGAAAACTTATTATGTGGATATCTTCTTCAAAGAGATAAAATGTTTATCCATTTCTGCCAAAATGGCCAACTTTTGGACTAAATGATGAAGTTACTGATGTTTGAATGAGAGAGGGCACCTGACTCAAGAGTAGGTGACCTTCAGGCCAGCAGAGACCTTGAAGACAAACTGACGGAAAAGATGAGCTAGATCAAGCATTCTTATTCCTGTAAACCTAAAATTGAAAATAATGAGTGAGATAGAAATGGGAGAATTGAAAAGGATGCCAGGAGGTAGTGCTGAAGAGCCATGGAAAGCTGAAGTTACATTCAAAACAGACCTGTAAAGAAATAGAAATGATAACTAGGCAGAGGCGGCCAGTTAGCAAAGTGGCAATCAGAGCAGATGAGTGAAGGGAAGTGAAGGTGCTGTGAGAGAAATCATGTAGCTCACTGTGGAGATGAAGGGAAAAGCTCTTCCTTGAAGCTCCCAGGCACCTGATAGTTTTTCATTTTCAGTTCACCTGAAGCTTTACCAGAGTCTTTTTTTCTTGAGGTACCATGAGGGAATCTCTCTTCTTTGCAAACTAAAGTATAAAAGTATAACACCATTTTTCACTAGCTAAAAGAAATCACAGATGTTATTAAAGATCTACAGTTCCACACAATCATATAGGGAGAATTCTTGCTACCACACAAGAGAAAAAAGATTTTCATTGTAAGAGAATAAACAGAAGACAACATTTTCCCTCACCAAACCAGCTTTGGTTTTCAAAATGGAAGCAAGAATTTGGACACTGAGAGATGGATGTAATAGCGTACAATAGTATGAATGTCAGTTCTAGCTAATTGCAGAAAATTGATTTTTTCCCCATAAATATGCCTATGCTCATATACCTGGAATACTTATTATCTGTTCTGGAATATTTATTGACAACATTCTAGCAATACCTTTAAAACACCACAATCTTTATCATGTGTTTTTAGTGTTTCATGATACTTAAGGAAAAAACAAACATTTAGTAATTTGCTGTTTAATTTCCAAATATTTGGGGATTTTTCTACTTTTTTTTCTATTATTGATGTCTAATTTAATTGTTATGATCAAAAAAAACATTGCATGATTTCAATTCTTTTATATTTGTTAAGGTTTGTTTTATGACTCCAAATATAGTTTATCTGGATGAAGCTTTCTTGTGCACTTGAAAAGAATGTGTATTCTGTTATTGTTGGCAGAAGTGTCAATTTGGACAAATTGTTGATAGTGTTGTTCAGGTCTTTATATTCTTACTTATTACCTGTCTATGTTCTACAGATTACTTAAAGAAAGTGTTGAAGTCTCCAACTACAAATGCATATTTTTACATTTTTTATGTTAGTACTATAAGTTTTTGCTACTTTGTATATTTGAAACTCAGAATCTTGTGTTTGGGAAGTAGAAGGTGGGTGTGTGGTGGTTTCTCTGTTGTCCCAGTCCAGCTTCAGTCTTAGGCAGGCCCTGTGCCCCTGGGTCTCAGAAGCAGGGCTCTCTCAGTGTACCTGCCCCTTCACTAAATGTAGTAGGTCTCTAATTTTTGGTCCCAAGACAGTTTCCTGTTCTTTCTTCATTTTCAAGGTTCAGTTTTATTTTGCTCCTTGTTGTTGTTTTTCTTTATCTTTCATCAGGTTGCAATACATCTTCACCTATTCATTGTGGCTGTCACAGTGATGCCTCTCCTGCAGTGGATTTTTTATATTATTATTATTATACTTTAAGTTCTAGGGTACATGTGCATAACATGCAGGTTTGTTACATATGTACACCCGTGCCATGTTGGTGTGCTGCACTCGTCATTTACATCAGGTATAACTCCCAATGCAATCCCTCCCCCCTCCCCCCTCCCCGTGACAGGCCCCGGTGTGTGATGTTCCCCTTCCTAAGTCCAA